ATGCAACGTTGCGAAAAAAATTATACGTTGATTCTGTATAAATTTTGTACCATAGTTTGTATTAAATAAAATTGTTTATTGCTTGACAACATTCCGATTATTTCATTACGATTGTAACATTTTACTAAATTATTACTTTTATTAAATCTCAATTGCAATATTTAAAGTACTTAATTTCAATGATACCATTAGCATTGAAAGTATGCAAGTAATGTCCCAATTAACAGAATCGATCATGGATCATCGAATGATAAGAGAACGACGTGGTAAATAAATAGATCTTCGGAGCGGAAAATTGACACGATTCATCTGAGAAATTTTAATTATCGATTAAGTATTTTTATAACATCCTTATATTTCTTTAATTGCAAGTCCTCCAACTTCCTAAATTATGTGTCAAAATTTTTTACATTTGTCTCCAGAATAAAGTTATATACTGAAAAATAAAAGAAAATTTCAAAAAGTATAAATGCAAGTAAGCATCGGAATAATTATTATTAGAGAAAATCCTCAAAGATAATGATTTAAGTGTAATTTATGTACAGTTGTATTACAGAATATAAAGTAAACAAGATTTCACTTTCGCAAACAAAATAAATAAACATAATATTGAAAGTTGCAGACAAAATAACAAATGTTATCTGAAATTTAAAAAAAAAAAAAGATGGAACAAATTAATAGGGCTATTTTATTAAGGTTTTAAAGACATAATTAATCAAGATAAATCATTAAATTTTATAGTTCCTTAAAGTTTAATAGGAATTAGAAAATGATCTTAATTATGTTTAAACAAATTGTTTTGAATTCAGATATTCTTGTTTTGAACTTATCTTAAAACCTTTTTTTTTTTCTTCTTTTTTTTGAAATAATTTTAATAATTTTTTACAACACAAAACTTTAAAGTTTGATCAAGTTTTAGTGTACAAATTTGGAAAAGCCATATCTCATTTTCAAATGACTTATTTTTAATTGTCATATGTAAATTGTAGTTTTTAGGAATTAACATTACATAGCTATTTTAAATATTTATTTAGCTAAATTATTATAATTTAATTATCATTATCCTAGCGTGTATATTTATGAAATAACTTGCCAAGTTAAGATATAGTGACTATACTGGAATTCATCTGTTTCGAACTTCTTGTTAGCGGATTCGTGAAGAATGGCGATGATATAATATAATTGCACGGTTCTTTATTCTTTCGCAGTGTAAGTTATATAAACTGTTGAAATGAATTAATTTGTGGTATTCTTTGTGATTCGTAAGCATTATTGCACAGAAAAAAATAGGAAAATAAGTAATGCATTTAATGAAATTTTTAATTATCATTTCGAAATTAATTTTTTTATCAAATTCGTAGAGGTTTTTTCTTATAATAAATAAATCGGAAATAACATTTGGAATGATAATTTTAAATATGTAATGTTTCTATGTAAATGTCATGAATACAGAACGAGAAGAGATCGATTGTCTCTTAAAATTCTATGTAAATTACCATAAATATTAAATAACATAGTTAATAAATTACAAAATTTTTGTTAATATCAACAGTTAGTATTGAAAGAATTTGTTAAGAACGAGTCTTTTACAAGATATGACAATTATCTTGGATTAATTTGAATAATGGAAGATACTTCATTATATCGTAATAATCATTATATTCACAATACATATAAACATGAAAACGATAATAGTTATGATACATAAGTTAATAATATGATAAGTGAAATAGATAAATGCAAATACGTAACCGCTACATTGGACAAAATATTCTATACTACGAAGACATTAGTTTGATCTTATTCCATACACTACTACTGCCATATACTTTGTATAGAACTTAAGTGACTATATCGCTTATAATTTAGAACTTGACACTCTCAAGGTATGGCGATTAAAAGGTGTTGACATTATCTCATTCATATCGAGAAAATTCTAGACTACATACAACCAAACTAATAAGACATACTCATTTCAAGGAGCATGTACAATCCATTGATAATCCTTATAAGATCAGCAACAACATAGTTGGTAAACTATTCACCACAAGAAATCCATTTCAATCGCATAAATAATGTAATTGTAAATAATTCAAAATAAAGCAAAATCAGCCATATTTATCAAAGAAGCGCACACTGTATTATTAAACTAAAGCCCTTTCAATTAAGTCCTTACCAAGCATCCGCTAGGACGGCCGGAAAATTATTATAAAACATTGGCAGTTCGAGCCAGAACATCAAACATTTTCGAACAGAGAGATGGAGAGATATAAGTAGTCGTAGGCACTACATACGAAGTTTGTAATGAAGTATTTACAAGTATTTACAATTTTCATTCAGACTGATTATAATATTTTGTATAAATATAGCATTAGATATTAGATTAAAAATTCTAAATTACATAAATTTCTGATTTTGATAATTGGTATTTTTAATATAAAGTTTCCAGAAATAAAAAAAGATCAGAAGTATTTTTTTTTTTTTTTTACAAAACTTAACATATATATTACATATTACAAATATTTTTTATTAACATTAGTATGAAAAATATGTGAATCTTGTGTAAGTTGAAGATTACCAGTCAAGCTACCAGTCAAATAAAACGATAAATACGATAAATAACATAATATATTACATAATTAATGAAATTTAAATACAAGTCTTATAAATAAAACATTATAATTTATAATTTAAAATCATGAATGCATAAGAGTTTGAATGCTGCAATTCTGGATTAATTTCTGAAATACTTGAAAAAGTGAAATTAGTCAACAGTCAGATGTTATAATTATATGAATTATAATAATAATGTAAGATAAATGAAACACACACCTTTACCCAATGAATCGATAGAAAATACAGAATTATTTTTATTACTAAATATACTAATTAATTTGATTGTCGGAAAAACTTTTCTGAACATATCTGTTTTCGATTTGTCTGCATTATCTCTATGAGACGGTATTATTAAAAATCCTATCGATTGTTTCAAACGAATGCATTTCTTAAACTCCCGTAATTTAATCTCAATCTCAATATCTAACAAATTATCCTTCAATACCATGGACCATGACTGCACTGAGGAACCAATTATATTCATAGCGTAAAAGCTCGTAGAATTATAAGATGACCTTGCATCTGGTATTACTGTAAAAATATCGTTTACAATTCCACCCCAGAGAGAATATCCACCAACGGTGTATCTTGAAAAGAAAAAGAAATTAATATCAAATTGCCCAGTTAAATTCATTAAAATATTTAAATCACGTAAAATTTACGATTTCATTTACTTACTTAAAATTTATATATTTACTGTACAATATGTATATATATATATATATATATATATATATATATACGCTATAAAATTTTTATTAAAACGCAACCATATATACATAAAATGTATTTATTTACTTAAAATAATTCACCGAATTTGTATATATTGAAAGTGACGCGCATATTAATGTTTGAAACAGTGTTGACAATAACTTCTTTTTTTTTTTTTTTGTATATAATGATATTTCGTTTCTTAATATAAAATATTATATAAATGTTAACAAAAAATCTAATATAAAATGCTATTTTTCATGATCTACTTGCTTCATTATTACTCATTATCTAACCTGCTTTTAAGAACGTCGAAAAATCTAGTTAAAAAGTGCCTATGGTAATGTTCATAAAGAGGCTCTTTCTCCCATTGATAAATAAATATAACGAGGCAAATGTTATTGCCATCAGTGGAAAATAATTTATCAGTAATATTTGTTAATAAAGTTTCATTCCCTTTAAAATATTGCATTATGCATTGTGAAGTAGTTTCGGTAATTGCGTAATGTACTGTTGGCAATGAAGGTAAAAAGACAGCTGCCGTTGTATTTCTTTCTCCATTAATTGTTTTATTGTTAACTGTTACCCCCAGCGTTTCAATAGCAACGTAAATGCAATTGTCTGGTTGGGTCCAGTTATATCCTGTACAAACTGAAAATTTTTCTTATTTGATCACGATTATTTTCGTGAAATGATTGTTTCCGTTGAAACCGATTGATATTCATCACGTGCTATAACTACATTTAATTATTATATTTATTATGCGTTACTTTCATACGAAACACTATCGCAATCTGCAGAAGCTGGATATTTGCCATCAGTAAAAAAAAGTCCTGCACTTGGTTTTATTCTTAGAGAGACTTTTAAATCATCGATAAGTTCATGTTTATCTATCAAACGGGAATTGGAAAAGCCCGTAGCGACTAAATCATCCAATGCTTGTAAAATCATTATTTGTGGTCCTCGTTTTAATTTCTCTATTTTTGCAGAATGATACCAAGACCTTCAATTTACGATAAAAATTTTGTTCAATAAATAAAGCAACAACGATTATTTATAATTTTTTTTAATTTAATTGTAAGCCTTTCAAAATTTGAAGAATGCTGGCACTCGTTTAAAATGTGTAGATTAACAAATAATAAAGATATATATATATATATATATATATATATATATATATATATGTATATGTATATATTGTATATGAACAATGATGTTTTTTATTACACTATATTAATATAATTATTTGTCCTTAAACTTTTCGTATTTAATGTATAATCATTTATTTTTAATACTTAGATAACATGTAATTTTTTTTTTTATAATTATAGAGACTGCATGATTGTAATGCATTTTAATATATACATAGATATATGCAGCATAATTATTTAAGTATTTAAATAATTTAACATACATAAGTTTTTATATATAGAATTTTCTAATTAACTTATGATCTTGAAATAAAATATAATAATACTAATTTTTTTCTTAAAAGTCTAAAGTAAATATCTTTCTTTCCATACTAAACACAATAATTTATTTTATAAATACTTACTTGCATACCTCTGCTGCATGATTTAAATCATATATATTTAAGTAATGAAAAATCTTATTAAGCACATCGTATAATACAATTTCATTACATAAAAGTTGTTCGTTTGGTTCGACATTCGTATCATGTAATACTTCCATAATATCTAATAAAGTAACAAATGTTTAGTTTGTATATTATACTTAATCTATAAATATTATTAAGAAATTTACTTTCATTTGGTCATTAATAAAATATACAAAAATTAGTAGTTGAATTTGAAATTTTCATATTGGCCATCATATTATATAAATAATATAGTAGATAAACAGTGAAATTTCCTTTCAGGTTAATCGTGCAGTAAATAAATGTATATATTATTTGTATTTAAGCTATGATTCATTTTATAAAAATGATACGGATAATCAACTTAAAAGTATAACACGTTTACTCGACTCAGTGCTACAAATTTATTATTAAAAATATGCAATTAAAAATAAAATAGCATACCTTTTTATGTTACCCACTAATATGGATGAACGGCCTTTAAGAAGTTCGTTGAGTTCGATTTTAGCAAGTATTGATTTCGTTGTCAGGCATAATAACATTCAGAATTATATATATCAAGGATATTATCTTATTTGATATAATTTCGAGTCACTAATATTAAAATCAAGTTATATTAAGATTCACAGAAAAATAAAATTAGCATTAGCATGATTTTCAAGCCATTATTAATAAAAACTAAATTCAACATCGATATTAATAATAAAAGGCAAGTATCTGTTCTTAACTAGAAAGTTTATAATTGTTGATATCAAAGATTAAATTAACTTAATTCATCATTGTATCCATCCACTGTGCCCATGTATATGATATATATTACTGAACATGTTTTATGTCTGCTTAAATTTTATCGTGTAAAATTTCTTTTAATATGCCCAAATTATAAGTATATAACGTCATATTATTCTTCTTCTTTTTCGTTATACCAATTATTGTTTGATTAACTTTTTATAACGACATAATTCAATTAATTAAAAAAAAAAACATTCAAAAAGTAGTTATATATATATATATATATATATATATATATATTATGTAAATACTTTATTTACTTTATATACTTTATTAGGTGATTTACTTTATTGTTAAAAAATTATAATTATACAAACTATTATTTACATCTTAATTTTATAGTTCAATTTTATTTCATACAATATTTAAACATAATACATTTATTTCGTTAAAAATTTGTTTTTACATTTCTATTTTTTACTTACTACTGTTTAGGTTCTTGTTAAATTATTCTAAAGTGGAAATAATTTGACAACAATTAATGATAAGAATTTTTGTGCAATAACTATTATTTGAAGACTGAAGATATCATGCTACTGAAATACTGATAATAAAAAAAAAAAAAAAAAAAAAAATTTTTAATGCTGCATATATATTATAATCCATATATATGATAGAACACACAATTTTATCATATTATTAATATAAATATTATTTTTCACAGTTTTATAGTAGCTTTTATGATGAAAAATAAGTGAAAAAAATTGAACAATAATAAAAGTAGTAGAAACACTAAAATGGAAATGAAAAATGGAGTGTGGAAGTTAGAGTTTAGGAGGCTAATATTTATTCGCCTAAATTCCATTGGAGAAAAATGGAGTAGTAAAAAATTTAAAAAATTTTTAATTATTTGTTAATAAGTTAAAACATGCTGGCCAATAGTTGATTGGATTGGTAATGTATTTTCAAAATAGGATGAATTTTATTACATAAATAAACTTGACATCGTATTAAAATATTAATAATTATAATGTTTAAAAGTATTATAAATAAAACAGTTAAATATTGTAGTTTATTTTTCTAAATATACATAAATAAATTATTATATGTATATTGTATATAAATTATTATATAAATAATATAAATGGGATACATACATACATACTATGTCCTTAAAAAGCCACGATCCATATTATCAATAATCAAACATTTTAAATGTAATGGATTTAATATTCAATTATGACCACGAAATTAATGAACGTTATATAACATTATAATAGTATTATTATTTTACCATCTGTAATTAATTTACTTCATATTAAAATGTTTTCAAACATTATATCGATGTTAATTTGTAATCGTATAAAAAATCAAATTTGTATTTGTTTAAATATGTGAGATAAACTATGAAGTTTAATAAAAGTGTCGTGATAGGCAAATTTGTAAGATTATAATTCATAATAATTATCACGTATATTAGATAATCCGTAACATAAAATTCTAATTGACGCGCGTTTGTCAACTCAATAATAAATATATAACTTTAGGTGACATTTAACTTTAAGACGACACGTATTGTCTCTTAAAGTAACTGGAAAATTTTGTTTACATATTTATCTACATTTACTTGAACTTACATATCCCATTAGAATATAATATTTATGCAATATTTATATTTTCACATAGAAGTTATAGATATCGTTTCTTCTAGAAGTAAATAAATTTGTTAAGCTATAATACGTATTGCAATTTAAAGATAATTACCTATATAATATATTTTTAAATATCTTCTTCTTCTTCTTTAATAGTTTTCTTTAATGGCGCTTGTAACTCTTTTTTTTTCTTTTTTTTTTTTTTTTTATATACTACAGTATTAATTAATAATTTTATCATCAATATTAATAATATGTATGCCTTTGCTACTTTCATCATTGATATATAAGTACACGAGTACGCGAGTAACAACCGATCAAATTCTTATATTAATGCTTTCAATCGATGATATACAAAGTCTATTGACTTCATGGAATATATAATTTGGATAATTTTTATGTATTAATAGTTGAATTTTAAGGGTTAAACAAATACACAAATAATATAAAAGAATATTCGACACATTCAAGGTAGAAAAGTATTTTGTTCTTTGAGATTTATTAAATAGCCATAATAAGTCACTAAGAATTAATTAACCAATAACCGAAAAATTCATTATTTGTAATAATTATTAATTTTCACGTAATATAAATTTATTACAAGCATTCGCGAGATTATACTGTTACGATAGAAAATAATAATATAAATTATAATTTTTTCTTTTATTGGTCAAATTCTTTAAAAAAAAAAGAAATGTAATAACTGATAATAAATGAATTTTGTTGTAATAAATATCTATCATTGAATATTTTGCTTAATAAAATTTGTAATAACTAAGATTTCGGTATTATTTTAATTGGCCTTTACGTTTGCTTAGTCTATAAGAAAATAATGTACTTTTCCTTTTAATTTTTGAAAATAACAAATTCTATACAATAAATTGATTTTAAAAAATTTATAGTGTTAATTCAAAATGGTTTAAAAGAATGAAAATAAACATTGTAATTAAAAATTTTTTTACATTCATTTATAAATAGACATAATACGTCTAATTTGTAAATATACATATGACGTCTTGTGTGTGATAGAAGATTTATAATTTTCTAATCTAATTGACACATAAGAAACCGTAAATTATTGAAAAAAAAAAAATAAAACAGGTATTTTTACTTGACATATATTGTAGTAAAATTATGACATTTATTATACAGTGTTATATGTCTTATATGTATTATAGATTTATTTTGTAAAATTTGTCTTTATTTTCATCGATTACAATATTATAATATATTGACGAAATAATTAATCTGCGATTATTGTATAACTTATTTTAATGCGGACAGAAGGTATAGAAATAACATTAAGTATTTAGAATTTGTAAAGTTGAAAAATTATTTTCCACATAATTCGATTGAATAGATTGTAAGTTATAATAAATTATAAATACATAATCCTTTCCATACGATAATCAGTACTATGAAAATAATTTATTAATTTATTTATTCAGGCATTTATTTATTCTTATTCAAGGATTTCTCATGAAATATTGAAATCATATGGATTTTTCGTTTCTTGAAGCTATCCTATCGGTAGTTTTCTTTGTAACTCACTATACAATATAACTTTCTATAGTTCAAAATTTCTTCATTTTACCATTACAGTATGAAGTATGAAGTTGTCTTATTGTCTAAATAATTTATTTATCTTAAGTACGACAATTTTTAAAGGACATTATTAAATTGATTCAAATTAAAAGTATTAAAATAAATTATGTTATAGATATGTTTTGGATGTAAAAATAAATGTAAATTTTTTTTTCAAGAAAGCTTATATGATTGTAAACTTGATTTCATTTAAATTAAGTTTCATTGATTATCGATCAATCATACATTTTACTTTAGCCATATATAAAATGTACTTATAAATGAAAAAATTTGTTATATTATTAATCTAAGTATTCTGATTATTTAAGCTAAAGCAATTGTAATTATAATCAATTATTGAAAATTTGCTAATGAAAAATGATTATAATTGTTAAATATTCAACATATTACAATGCAGAATAGTATAAAAAATATGATACACAATTTACAAAAACAATAGAAACTAATTGTAATTGTTAAACAGTGATTATATTTTGGGAAAGAATGGTGAAAATAGTAAAAAGTTATATATTAATATACATGGTAATACGTTCTTTAAATACCACCTAATTATATTAAAAAATATAACAAATACGTTAATATATGAGTTATAATCTATAATCTATAACGTTCAACTTTAATGTAATATGGAATGCTATAAAATCATATAAAATCGTATGTGGTATAATATCTAACACATATGAATTCGCCTTAGTGCCAATAATAATTTAACGGAAAAAATCGTTAATTATTCAACAATTGATTATGGTTATTTATTTTATTAGTCTAATAAGATAACTTATATTCTTACATATTCCATTTGAACGAAATTAATATTAATTTTGCGCGGGCAATTACTTTCCACTTGGCTGTTTTATCCAGAATCCCCAAGGTGCATAAGTTTCACCGTTTTCTTCCTTTAATTCCCCACGAAATACTTTGATTTTTATTCGTGGAATATCTATTAAATTATATCGACAATAGAAATGAATAATTATAAAATTAAGCTTAAACAATTCTTTGACAGTGTAGGATTATGTCGTACCTTCCGTTATTTCGCTTCTCTCTGAAGATTCATCTTCATGGCTCATGTTACCGGCCGCATACAAGAACAACGCA